AAGCAATATATTTATAAAAATATAAATTAAAACAGCGAAACCTTAAGGAGAATCTCAACGATTATATATAAAACTGTTAATAGACCTTAATAAACTAAAAAAAAATATCAGGTTAATGATTAATTTCGTTTTAATTAATCAAATAAATAAGATTGTGTGTAATCAAATCACAATTATTAGAGAAGTTTTTCAATGGTTTGGTTGTTTAAAAACTTGCTGGAATTGAACTTAACGTAGAAACCAAAACAGATTTGAAATATGTGTATGTACATGATTATGTGGCATATGTGGCTTAACAGTTTATTTTATATACATCTACAAACATATGTTAAAAATAATAATAAGTTCTCATGATATGCCTTTGTCTCTAATTTGGCTCGTAAATGAATTTCAACTCCTATAAATATAAGGTTTTCCAATAAGTGATATGTTTAAAAAAAAACACACACTAATTTTAAGGGAAATTCAAATTTTTTTTGTTTAATGTGAAGTACAATCGATACAAATAAGTTCTGAATATAACATCATTTAAATGGCAACGACTTCTTTTACAGAAATGAAATCGATGAACCCAAACATCCACACCAAACTGTCAATTTAGGTGAATGTTATGGTTGTTCGTGAATAATTTGTAGATTTTCTTCGCACCAGAATAGACAGTTTTAATTATTTACTGCAACATTCATCCGAGTGAGCCTCATCGAGGAAGATTTTCTTAAAAAAAATCGTTATCATTTTCAAGTTTTTTTTTTGTTGTTTACAAACGCAAGAACAGTAGATCTTGCAATGATAAAATTGTTAACATTACTGAATACATGACATATTAAAAATGGCCAAAATAACTCTTAGGATTTATAGCATCCCTATAGGAAAACTCTCCATATACAGCTGTTGACAACTAATTAGAAACACTTTCTTCTCTTAAACACTTGTAAGATATCCAAATTTACCGGAATATTTTATTAAAAACAACACTTACACTTGCATTGTTTTTGTTGTGCATTTCAAGTACTATTATTACTTTCCCACATTGGGAAGCATTACTTGGCGTAAAGTCAATAAAGTGCGACAGTTAATTAGAAACGATTGTTCAATAGTATCATATTCATAATTTTGTGTTGTTTTAGTGATAATATTACTAATTTTGTTAGGTATTTATCTAAAATGGATTGTTTAAAATCAAGTAAATTTTTTATCTCAAGATTTGTGATTCAAAAACACTGCAACTGTTCCCCTGCATTACGCAGTTCTATTTTTTGCAAGCAAAAAAAGCACCGAAAAACTTTCGCTGGAATAGAAAACAGGATAGCAGTGATCTCGTGAAGAGACCTAAAAAAGACTTCCTTGGACATTCAATATTGAAGAGAAAAATTGCACGATGTTTGGTCGAATCTGGACATCACGGAAGAGCAGCACGCAAGAATCGCTTCTGAAAACGGCATGTAGACTTTGCTCATTCTCATTGGTCTTGGACCCAAAACCAGTGGAAGTATATCGTTTGGAGCTATGAAACAAAAATAATCGCATTATTCCTGCTGGTCGGAGGTATACTCGACGGCCCCTTAACCAAGAATTTAATCCTCGCTATGTTTCACGCAATCCGAACCACATCGCCAAGTTTACGATACAATTTGTTGACGAAAATTTCATCAATGTTTTAGATTGGTCATCATCCAGACTTGAATCCCCTGGTGTGACGTTAAAAGAGCCATTAGTGTTAAAAATATCTTAAAAATTGATGTTCTTTTGAGGAAGTAAGAACGGTATATCAACCACTAGCAGTGGCACGCTATCGAAATCTGTTAACATTATTGCGATATCGGTGTGAGGCAGTGATAAATCAGAAGGGTTATGCAACCAAATACTAACTAAAAGCAAACATATTATTTAAACATCATTATTTAATTTTTTTTTTTTCGATAAAATGTTTGTGGGCTCCATATTAAAATTGACGCCAAACATACAAATGTAAGCAAAATTTCGCGCACTTATTTTCTAAAGCAAGCTAAAAGTAACAGCTGATAACTGACAAAAGAAAGAATGCAATTATGTCACAAGCCGTTGAAAAAATTTGTCAACGCCGACTATATGAAAAATCCGCAATTACTTTTTGGGCAACCCAATAGAAAGGTCTCTCAAAGCGGAAACAATTCAAATAATTGTTTTACGAGTCTTTTTACTGCTTTTCGTTGTTTTCATGGAGCCATCAAATATGCTCCGAATTTTATTTGTTTATTTGGCCTTTACGATAAAATTTTGCATTTTATAAATTGTAAATAACTATAGATTACATTATATTAAAAATCATTGTTTTCTTCTTCCTGAAATTCGAAGGTTTACTCAGAAGAATACCACTTGGTAGGAGTTTCTAAGTTATATAAAAGCTGAATTCATTGTAGATGTGATGAGAAATCGATTTTTTCAAAAATTCTCCAGCTGTCGGATTTTGTCATATCAGAATCTTCTCCATTTTGGGTATACTTTCTATGGAAAGCTTGAAAAGCCTTGACCCAGATGCGCACGCTTATTAACAAACTAATAGATTTGACCCTATAAATATATTTGTATATCATATTATACTAGCTGTGCTCTTTAACGCGTCGCTGTCGCACATACTCATTGAATGTGTAAAAAAATAATCAAGGCTCATCCTTTTATCATAAATTTATTTATTTAATACTTGTGGGAATACAACATTTTTGGTTTTACCATTGACATTGGTCCACTTCCAAGAGAAAGGAAGTGAAAAATTCGTGCTCAACTAAACCAAAACCCAAATCCACTGAATTTTAGCTAAATCTAACGATAAATACAATTTTTTCGAATAGGTCAGTTCGATTCCAAGAAAAAATCACCTACTCATCCAACCAAAAATCCATATGTACGAGTGTACGAGTTTCAAGTAAAACGATCCACTTCCCGAAATTTTGTTTTTTGTAAACCTTCCCAGGAACCATAGAAACAATCTGACAAAATTTTTAGTCAATCAGTCTGTAACTTTTTGAGATTACTGGATTATATTGTGGCCGTGATTATCAGAAAAAGAGAAGAGAAAATACGCTTATTTATAGTTTTTCCTTGATAAGGACGAAAACGCAAGTCAGGCGGCTGAAAATTTAAACAGTGTTTATTGGGCTTGATCCTGTTACAGTCAATCCTGCACAATTTTAGTTTTATTCCGGTGATTTTTATGTAAAAGATGCTTCACGGAGTGGAATGCCAATTGTCGATAAAATCATAGACATTGTCGAGCCTGATTGTTATTTAAGCACTGATTGAATTGCGCAGTTGCTAAAGATTGCACAAAAAACCATTTGGTACCATTTGAATAAGGCTGGATACGAAAAGATAAAAGCCTTCAATGGCGTGCAAACATTATATTGAAAATCTAGAAATTAAGGTGCTTTTAATGTTAGTCTTTGATTACTGTACCGTATGTGTTTCTAACAACATTGTGATATTTGTAAAATATATTTCTAGTGTCTTCTTATTTTTTAAACATTCATATGCTCAACGTTTTCCTAAGGATATCCCGAAAAACTTAAGCATCCTCCAAACAAAAGGAAAATTTCATCTGCAGCTGTTTGTGGATTGTCTGGAATATAAGTGGTACGTGTGATAGAGAATAAAATTTGTGGAAATGAGAGCACATCAATTAGAATTCACATTTCGATTTCACAAGGGGTTATTAAATATATGGCAAATAAAAACATAAACTATGGGTGCTTAAATATGTGAAATTTATGTTATGCAGAAAATTGTTTTATCATATAATTTAATTTGTCTTTTATCAATGTAAGCAAGTGGACATTTATAGAACGATCGTAGAAAATTCTCGAGTAATTAGTATTAAACGATTCGTATCACTTTATTGCTAAATAACAGTATATTCTAATCCGCCTCCGAACGGTCGACTTTTATTGAGAGGAAATAGACTCGGAGGCTTGGCGCAAATATTCTCATCAAATAGAGAATCAGGAATATCGTGGTTTCTCAAATGTAAACGGTTCAAGGCAGTAATTATTTTAGAAACTAGCTGTAAAAAACATAGTTACCAACCATTCAAATGTATAGTTCTTATTATGGACGACGTGATTGGTCAATAATCATTGCTTCATTACAATAATCAAAAACTTCTAGCGCAATCCTCATTTTTAAATTTTCAAAGAGAAAACAGTGCTTGTTCGATTCAAGCATATGTTTCACTCTTATTATATAAACGGAGCCAAGTGCACTACGCACTTTCTATTGTTTTACATAATTTTTTGGCGAAACCAAAGAAAAGAATAAAAAAAGTGCGTGTAAAGTCGATAGCGTAAGCAAGGAAATTGTTTCATTCGATCATTTTTATGATGAATTTGACCTTATAAATATTGGCAGCTACATTAAAATGAAACAAAGAAATTTAAACACAGAAAAAAGGTCCTAATTTATACGGAGGTTGTAACCCATTTGGCACAACAATCAGCGATAATGAAACTGTAATTCTCCATAACGATTATATGAAAAGTACGTTTAAGAGAAAATGAATACGCAAAAGTAGTGGGTGCAGTGTTATACTCTACCCATTCCATCAAACACTCTGCCTGTAAAAGCGATGCTTTGAATACTGAGATGTTTGCTTTACGCATAGTGCTTTGTCTCGTGAACTTGCATGCAGTTTTCATTTCAAGCAACTCTTCGAAACGTTTTGATCTTTTAAAGCAAAAGAGAATCAGTTACTAAACAAAAACGATGTTTTGTATTTGTTTGGATATCCGTTCACTGTTGGACGATTCGAAATTCTTGTAAATTTTTGTTGATTGTATTAGTTGGTATTGTCATAGTTGTTTGTATAAGCATAGTTAATTAGATCCTTGTACATGTTCTTAATTAAAAAAAAAAATTAAAATTAAAGAGGAAAAATGTAAATTGGAAACAGAAGATATAATTTAGACATTAACTGTATAAAACAATAGCTTAATGCAAAAATGGAAAATGAACATAAACACTTCTCTTACCGGCACTGAAATCTGTTGAGATTTGGAGATATATTCCATTATATTGAATTTTGTATTATTATTATTATTATTATTAATTATTATTATTATTATTATTAATTATTATTATTATTATTATTATTATTATTATTATTATTATTATTAT